TTTGTAGTCAGTATTATATTTAAGAGTGCATCATATGGGAGTAACGCGTATGATAAACCGATATAGTTAATCATTCAATCAAAGTTTTTCGATTCATTACATTTTGCTTCTAAGACATTTAACGATTGTCATAATTCATAGACTCCTATGATTAATTATCGATAGAGCGGTGGTACAGTAATTTTAGCAATTATTTTCCTTGTTTTATAAATAGTTCTGCATAAATATTTTATTTTAAAAATATCGCGGATAAAAAGCAATGTACAAAATTCTTAGGTAGTAAATACAAACATTCAAAGGAATAAAAGTGAAAGAAAATAGTTTAAAGATCAAGATCATTTAAGAAAGTCCCATTCTGGATCGCAAAACAACGCGAGCCATTAAGGTATGTATCTTCAGTAGGTAGCCTCTCACCCAATATATATTTGACTGCGTTATATCTCGAATTACTTCTTCGGTATCTGGAGCGATAAATAATCCATCCAATGTATGTTAACGAAGCAGAACACAGTACGACTATAACGCCGATAATAACGATCATAAGACCCTTTCCAGTCTTCTTTGCTGGCGTTTTACCTGTTACTATCTCCGGAGGCAAAAATTGTATCCAAATCTAGAAAATCAAATAAATCAAAAGAAAAATTTATACAAGCGACCACAATTTGTCGTGATGCGTGGCAAAGCGATTTTACTTGTTCTACACTTTATCAAATTGTGTGTGACAAATCATTAAGAAATTGTTGTCATAAAAATTGAAAGAAAAGCAAATGTGTACTAAAATTTATTTTACATCTAAAGCGGAGGAAAGATTATTTCACTCAAATAAAATAAAAAAATCCATTGAAATTTAATGATTCAGTGAAAATTGGTTGATTACTTGCTGCAAAACTTAGTTCTGAAGATCAAGGATTCCTAATATGCTCACGTCTAATCTTTCTTTTTATTTCTTTTTTTTTTTTCACAAAAATTTATTGCAAATTATGAATAGGATATTTCCACAGAGTTTAGCTTCGTCTACAAAAATGATCTTCCATGTCAGCAGTGATATCAAAAATTTTCGAAGAACACGTTTTTTTTCGTGCAGTTTTTTCCGATTGTTTTCGATAGGTTTGTACATTAAAGCAAAGTCAAAAAAAAGACAAAATCATATTCGGATGTCTTATGACGAGGCACATCTAATCATACCAAACTTGACCTGAGTTACAAAAACAAATATACTTCATTTATGGCCTGATTGATCATCGTCTACACAATTAATACATTTGCTTGTACTCTCTACAATATCTGAAAATTTCATCGAAATCGAAAATCAATTTTGAACATGAGGTTGAAATCCTGTGAAGATACTCGATAGTGAATGAATTTTAATGTACATTGGTTTAAAGATAGAAACTCAAAAATAACATAGATACAACAAAAGCCAGTATTCTTATTTTGCTTCTATCGATCGAACTAATTTTTTCTCGCTGATAGAAAATGTTTCATTTTGTAAAATTTTTCGATAAGAAAAAAATTTTGTCAGATACCGATTCAAACAATTATTATTTATTTGATTAAAAAAGTGTAACAATTTCTGTGAATTTTTTAGTGAGTTCTCTCGTCCATTGTTTCAATGAAACTAGTATTGTCAAGTTATAGATGGAATTAATATCCCTTACAGATTTTGATACAAACTTTCAGAATTTTTTTTATATGCAGTTCCTCCAAAATCAATTATTAACGAATAAATTTCTTATTGCATTTAATAAGAATTACTAATGGACTGTTTTTTAATAACTTATCTTACCAAATACAATATGTTCTGTCTTTTCAAAACAACAACTTTGACAGTGATCTTTCTCGCTTTTCTATTGATGATTCTGCAATAATATTTTGAAATAGTATCCAAAATCAAGATCAAGTTACTTTTAATATGCCTTACATTCTGTCAATCACCAACACTAAGACAAGAATGATTTCATTCCCAGAGGGAATATTTTGGGAGTTTAATTAGATTCAATAGTGCTTACGTAGGTACTTTGTATTTAATAACCTTACTTTCAGCATTGCAGAAGTTTTTCCAACAACAATTGATACGACCTTGGAAAGTGGCACCACCATAGGAAACAATGCCCAATGATTGATTCTTACAATGCTGAATAAATGTACGTATGACAAAACCTGGATAACTAATATTGATGGATGGATCTTGTCCGTCGAAACCAATTATAGTCTTAAAATAGTATGATTTTAGATATTAGAATGTCATGTTTTTTGTTCTTTTTAAATGCTTACAGCACAGGCTTCAAAAGGATCTGACGAACCAGATTGATAAACGTATGGGCTCGATGTATTTAATATGCTACATCCAGTCTAACTGGTTATACGTGAGTCACATGTGTAACATTCAATAGCTAACTTTGGATTCATGGGCTGTTGATTACATTTGGGAGAGTTGCAACAAAAATATTCTTCTAACATTGGATGTCCATCTATGATTATGGTATTGTAACCATGAATACAATGCTTCTTGTATGACTGTTTTAGGGTTTCGTCCAATGTTTCCCATGTTCCCTACAAAGCTATTCATTTATTTCTATTTCAATGATAGTAATATTCACTGAATTTACAATCTGTTATGTCTTATATTTTAGAAAATGTCGAAAAGTTTGATTTCAGAACTTCGAAGTATGACTAAGGTAAGTTGAGTATCATACTTCAGTTGTACTTCATTTCTAATTCGAATCATTGATTTTGCGGTTTTCCTCCCTTGTATAATACTAACATGTTAAGTATATTAAATGGTTTGCTTTCAACACTCTAAATTTGAGAAATCTTATTCAATCCGAGTACCACATTTGAATGTATTTGATTGGACACGAATACATTATGTAACGAATAGAATTTTTATTGCGGATTAAGGCAACATAGAATTGAAGACTATCACAAACGAACTAGTACGACAAAGCTGGTTTTGATCATTATAATGTGCGAGATCTAATCCGTAGTCCTGATCGAAGTGCCGACATAAAGATAAGAGTAGATTTTATCCTATAGACACTGCTGAATTTTTTTACGACGAATTCATCAGCTGCCACAATCAAGAATTAATGCTTAATTGATACGCTCGCTATATGAAATTACCTTTTGAAATAAAAACCCTGTGAGTCTCTTTTCGAAGCGACATGGCCATTAAATGTGATAGTCTATGTAGCGGCTTTGTAGCTTCACATCATTATCCTTGGCGCTAAAAAGGTCTCTTTGTTTGCCAATTGAAGCTCTTGCTAGAGTTTGGTTTTATCAAATATCAACATAATAACTACATTAAGATGACAAGCATATCACTGAACTATGGATTCTTCAAGATTTTCAACAATTAATTAAGAGTTTCACATGTTCAAGGGAAGAAAACAAGGATCCAGAAATGGTGAATTCTATATACTCCGTTGAATTCNTATAGTTAGTGTTTTCTGTGGTTTTTCAATACAAATGAGACATTTTTAGCGATTTTCATTTTCATGAGACAATTGTATAGCGGGTGTGGGCAGGTGTGGCTGTATGAGTGTCAGTGTAGGTTATTCCTCTTCAATCACTCACACCCTACAGGAGCGTTCGATCGAATTCAATAGAAATTAGAATAGTATTGAAAATTCATTGAACATAACCTGTCAGAGTCACTTTCTTACATCCAACTTGAATATATTAGATTTGAAACAATTGAGCGACGATAAAGTAGAGAAAGCTTGAGTTTCCTTAAGATATGCTAAAATTTCGGTTTTGACGTAAAATTTTCTATTGTTAAGATTTTGGACCTAAAACTTGACCGTGAAATCTTGTAAACTGCCAATTATTGAAGAGCATACTGAGTTCTATCGAACTATATATAATTCGGCTAAATTGTTTTTCTGCTATTTTTTCAATTACCGGCACGTTACTATTGATCTTATTCAACGAGATCGATAGAAACAGACCAAGAAAGAAGTGTCTGAGTGGTGGCATTCAAACTGTGTAAATCATCAAACGTGAAGTTTCGGTCATATGTGTTGAGGAAATCTGTAATTGTAGAGCTAATTATTTCTGTCAGCTGAAGTAAAGTCAGAAATACAGCATATCAATAGACAGTCGAAAAGTGTGCGCGAAACATTTATTGTCACTTTTTGTCGACTGATATCTCTTATCACGAGTAAACATGAGGCAACAAGCTGCACGAGCAAGCAATAGTCATTCAAATGAAGATAATAACAACCAAGAGCGACAACTAAAGGTGAGTGTCCAAGGACGAGCATCAGTTCATCCGTCATTTTGTGCCTTTCATTCATATATTTGAATTTGACCTAGTAGTTCATGTTTTAATGGAGAATTGAGTGAATGACACTTGTCTTTTTTGACGAATTCAATTGCCTACCGTGTTACCGACCACGTACCAACGAAATATTGTTGTTCGAAGTTCACCTTCAAGAATGTTATAGAGTTCAAAAAGCTAAGGAGTTCTTTAACTGTCCGTTGATAGTCGAAGATCCGATAGCAAGAACCAAGAGCAGCTGAGACTTTCGACCTTCAGTTTCCCTTCGGAGCCACTCAAGAAAAAAGTCTCATCAGTATGATTTCTTTGCTGTGCTTACTCTGTATGACGCTATGTAGATTGTACAACAACAAATAAAATAATTTCTCATCAAAATATTGCCTGGCATTTCTCAACAGCTAAAAATTCATACAGTGATCAAAAATAGTTAAGCAATCCAGACAATTTTTGTCAGTGTTTTTTTAACTTTACTAGTGAGATGATTAAAAATTCAAATATAACAAACATTGCTTTGCAAGCGGCATATTCTTTACGCATCTTCTTTTATTTGTTTACGAACTTCTTGTCTGTTTGTTTAATGGTTTTTTATCATTATTCAACTTGTAATATTTGCTGTTGATGTTCACGCTTTTCACGAATTCAAGCATTGCAAATAAAATCAATCAGAACAAGTTTGTTCAATTGAAGCAATTTCTTTTTCCTTGTTTTTAGATTAATCATGATATTTATATATCGCTTAAGTTTTCTTACTTTTATACTAACAATCAGATCCAGTTTAAGTTTAATTTGTTATCAATGTGATGAAATTTTGGTAACAGCTACGAATTTAACAACACCGTCTGGATGCTTCAAAATGGATGTTAACAAAACGTATTGTACAATAGAAATTGGTTTTAATGATGATCGTAAAGGATATATAAATATTCAATCAGAAACGTATCATCAAGCATATGGTTACAATGAAGACTTTGTTCTACTTGGTTTAACAATAAAAAGTAATGGGTCATATGAATATGGTTTTACGTATCATTGTTTAACAGATGGTTGTAATGAACCAAAACTTAGTAAACTTCAACTACTATTGAATTCAACTACAATAGAACATGATATAAGCACAATTTTACCATTACTATACTCGCCAATACCTCAGATTCCATTAATGTGTTCAAAATACACGAACTTTACAAATCCTAATGCATGCTATTCACAAGAACAAATTTGGATTTTATGTTTGACATGTTTGACATGTATTGATGGAATAACAAATTCATTGTGTAGCGACTGTTTCGGAAATGTTGAAATCATTTCTGATCTTCTTCTTGATGAACGTGCATATTTATTAAAAACAAGAAAAACAAGTAATCATAATTTTGTAGTACACTGTAACATTCGAGAATGTAATAGAATGGATAAAATTGAGCAAATTCGAAAACTATATCGTTATGACTTCGATTATAATCAATTCATGGGTCAATCCATATCGGCTTTTGTATTTTACAACAAGAATATGATTTATTTTTATGTAATTTTTTTATTCACATGGAATACCTTGTGAAACGGCTTATACACATATACGCACACATATTCATGTAGCATAAAATTCGTTGTATAGAGCTCATTGTCTTATCTATTTTGTTTTTATATTCATTTTCAATGAACACATTCGAATAATGAGAAGTTGAATTCAATATGATCGGATGCTCAACGTTGTATATAACAGAAAGGAAATTAAGTAGAAACACACCGCTTTCACTATTTTGACAAGATCTTCAGAAGAAGATTGAAATATTTGAAAGAAACACATTTGATGTCTGTAATAATATGCTGGCTGAATCCTTGGGAAAAGTCTCGGAGATTTGTATCAAGAAGAATACCTTTCTATGCTAATCCGACAACATATTCTATCTGGTTGTCAAAATATTCCTCGTACAGGCTATGGGTGTAAATGAGTATCTTGGTGAACAACACCCACACTAGAACTCGTCGAGTTCAAACTTTTTGGACTCGGATCCGGACCCAATTTATTAAAATTTCTCCTACCCGGACCCGCATCCGGTGAAACCCGACTTTGATATTATCAAAAAATTTCTAAATCTCTTCTTAAAATACAAGAACCATGGTCTTCTATTATGTTCAAGTATACACAGTTTCCAGGGTGATCTTCGATTGTATGCCATTTATTTTTATAAGTTTTAATTAAAAATACTCTTCAGAAAGTGTAAAGTTTTTAAGAATTTGAGAAGAGATTTTCATGGTTTTACAAGTCCAGCAATAACATTGATCTTAGTGCATGAAGACTTTCAGCTCAAAGCCCTGAAAACTGGACATATTTTTCACATGTCGGATATGTTTGTCCGTCTTTTTGCATTCAGTGACTAGCGAAAGCTATGCATTTCTCATATCATTCGGGTTCACTGGGCCAGACAATTTTCGAACTCGAACCCGGACCCTGGCGGGTTCGGAACCAATCCGATGGGCTCTAATCCACATCCTAAAGAATGTCGCCGCAGCGATACCATTGCCACGGCGGCAGTACCGCCATGGACATCTTTTTTGCAGAATATAAATGCAGTCAAAGATAGCTGACGTCTACCTTAATTAAGAAGTGTTACAATAAAGTTGTATTAATAGTTATTTCAAAAAAAGAATTGATGGAAGTCGCATATTACAATGAACGATAAGAGAAATTTATCTGAATATATATTTTGAATGTCGAACAGTCTTGAAAAAACAATGAAATTTGCTTTCGAAAAAAAAAACTAATAATTTTTTTTATTATGAGGATCTTATTTTCGGATTTTTCAAATGATCTAAGTCTTTGAGTTTGGCATTATGTTTGTTCATATACAGTAATCTGTAATGCTGTTTTTCTTCTTTTTTGATCAAACTTGTATTGCATATAAATACTGAGATAATTTAAGCACAATGAAAACAGTTGAATCGAAGTCAATCGTTTAATCTCACTAGTGCTCAAAATACCAATCATAAACGAATGATTTTTATGAAAATTACATTTTATAACGTTGTTCTGTCAAAACGAGTATTTGTATGAAATATTATCCTTGTATTTTATACTAAGGAATATCTTTAAAACGAAAGTTCGAATGAATCAAATCTAGAAATGATGATTTTTGTTGCATATACTCATAATTATCGATCTGATTAAAATTTAAAATCTTGAATATTAATAAACACTTTATTTTCAATGAGTTTCAATAAACAAAACAACAGCAAAATAAATAAAATATTGTTGATCTAACTGAAGAAAAAAATTATATTTATGAAGATCGTGTAAATGATAACTTTCATTTATCTATTTCATCGTTTTCACCGATCCATAAACATAATGAAAAGAGATATTGATCGTTGATTTGACATATAAAATTATTTTCATTGATGCCTTTTAAACGATAGCTATGTTTCTTTAACCATTGACGTGTTACTTTAATTCGTTGCTTCATATCATAGTGACTATCATCAACGACAAAGAAACCATTAATCATATTCTTGAAATGATCAATTAGAAATGGAATTTGTTTTTTTGAATTAATCGAAGCAATTAATCGTTCTACACATGGAAAAAGTTTCGACCAATTGAATATAATTTTTCCTGTGTATCGTCCATATTGGGGTAAAGATAATATTCGAATTTGTGGTAATGAAATATCAGGAAAATATTTGTATTGTACATTAGACTGGGTACAATTTAGACGAAGATGATTGACAGAGGGCATTGCTTCTTTAATCAATGTTATTACCTTGTCGAGCGACCAATCAGATGTATTCACAATTAATGATTGTATTGTTGATAAATAAACGATATCGTCATGCATATAACGATCATCCAAAATAAGTTCTTTAACATAATTATAACGATATGGTAATTTCGTTTGATTTGATTCATATCTTAACTTAGTAATACGATCATAAAAGATAATATGTTGTTCGAGAGGCAATGTTGTACAATCCGATAGCACTGGAGCAAATGAACAGTTCATAGAAGTTGGAGCAAAGTGAGGTACTGTAAAGAGTAACGAACAACTTGAATTAAAAGCAACAAACCAATATTTATCAAGCCAAAATGAAGATCGAAAACGATCAAGTACTTTTCGATCGATGTTTCCCGAACAAAATTTAAAATCAAATGTCATTAATTTTGGTAAATGTTCAACAATAAATTTTTCCCATCGATTAGCATTGAGAAATCGACGTTCTACACAGCTTGGAATGACTAATTCTAATCGTTGTAAATGTTTTAATGGAGCAAGAAACCGTTCGAAATGAACACGCGTTATTTTTTGACCAAAAAAACAAACAAACAAATAAAAGCAAGCTTGTTAGTGCAGCCCCTTTGGAACAAAAATGTGAAACTCACATATATCCTCTAACCTCATTAAATTAAAATAAAATATTTCTGTGAGAAATCTCTCATAGACGGCTTGTTTTCCACAATAATAGATCACCATAATAAGGACCACTCTGATTTCTCCATTTCTAACTGAAATTTTTATTCTTCTACAGGCGCTCAATTTTTTTTCATTGTTGCTATCTACTCGTTATTTTTCATTTTTTTAAATTCATTTTTCTTAATTTAACAATGTTATGAATATAATTATTATATTTAACGAGGAAAGAGTAAGCCCGATTTACATATAGACGATATCTCCACAAATTCATGAACAATCTTATTCATTTTTCAAAAACAAATCTGTAAAGCGTGACGGCAGTTCACCTCAATCACTAAAGTATGTAATGAGGGATGGAGAGTGTTTGCAATGGTTTCCTCGGCTGATTGCGAGTGTCTGTAATAACTGGATACTGCTTTTTTGTATTATTTGGAACGAAAAGATGGAGGAAGTAGCAGACTAACTAGAATAATTTATAATCAAAATAATCTCTAATTTGTTAGCGTCCAATTAGCAGTCGATGGATACTAATTGATGTCTATAATGAGAGGGGGCGGGGAGTCGCAAAAATCTTGACTTAATGCTTACTCAAAATTTTCTTCGAAAACATATGTGAGTTTCACAAAATCAAAAGGAATTTTTCAATATGATTCTATATAATTGTCATACTCACCAGGTGCATTAATAGATAATGACAGAGAAATGAGACCCAATGGTGTTGGTTGCATTTCATGAATATTAGCTAATATATTGATCTCTTCAGGATTTAAAAATAATAAAGAAGTTTTAAGTGAACTAAGTCGAGGAATTTGACGAAAGAAATGTTGCAATGCCGTAAGACATCAATTAGACAAAGATAAATGACGTAGGTGTTCCAATGAAATCCTACTAATTGATGATAGAATATCAAAATGCACATTTGATGGGATATTAATAATGAATTTTTTCAATGATGATACAGTTGTAATCAATGGAAGATCAATTCTAACATTGATTTCAAGAGAAACAAGACTTTGAATTTTGTATAAATTTGAGAATAATGATTGACCATCGTCTTTCAGTTCAATCAATTTTAATGCATGCAAACGAGTAAATTGTTCAATTGAAAAGTTAGATAAAACAATTGAGATTGATACGGTGTTTCTTGCGTATCTGAGAGAATTAATGAAATAATTTGTTCTGGTCGAATAAGACCGCATACAAGATCGAAATGAGATTTACGAATCAATTGAAAATTAATCATATAATTGTTAATATTCAATAGAATACTATTGAAATAGTTATTTATCTTATAAAACAAGTACAGAATTTCATGAGCCCAAAAGTAATCGAAAATCATATGAAGAATTTCAATTGGAAATTTATCCAGGGCGAAAGCCATGATTAATCTAGAAAATATATAATAAAAGTTTGTTAAAAGATAATCATGAAAAATTAATTTTATCTGAGTGCAAACAATTCAAATCTGGTGAAATGTGTTCTTCTTTATGTTAGTTCGTTTTCGAAGAACTTCAGTCAATATTCAATTGGTCATTAACTTTCACGATGAGACAGACGTATCCGATAACATACACTCGTTTAGTACGCCATGAAAGATTTCATTTATTATTCCTGAAGATTATCTTTCATCGATATGATGGTCAATTTATCTTCACTAATCTCTAAATTATACGAATTTTTGAAGCTATAATAAAAAGAAGCGTTTTAGGATAAAATTTAATGAACAATAAATATCGAGCTTATTTTTCAATCTCTAGAAGTATTTTTCTTTACAGAGTTACGCTCAAAATTCGAATTGGAAAATCCATAAATTAGAAGTATCGTTAATCCTGTTTAGCATTATATATATTATATCATGTTGAAAAGTTGCAGAACTAAATTTGAGATAGATAAGACTAAAATTAAATGTCAGATGAAACCTACGAATAGCCAATCGTTTTAAAATGGAAGTTAGAAAATAGAATCGATCGATAATGAATTAACTTACACTGTCTTTACAAATATTCCAAGAACTAATAAAGTCGTTCACTTGACTATTAGTGCTTGAAATTTTGTTCGAATGGAAAAAGAAGTTCATATTTAATGAAAATGTGCGCTACACAAAACTTATTGAATAATAGATAAAATAAACGAATGAAAATGACCCAGTCATTTATATAACGAAAAATGAATAATGTCTATTCGTCGTCAATAGGAACATAAAAAGAACGAATGTACAGTTGCCGATTTCGAATTAATCCATCACGTGTATATGTATTTTTCTTGTTTGACTAGCCAATAACCATAACAAATATCTTGACACGATCAGTTAACGTAGGTATGTGTGAAAAGAGAAAAACATCATTTAGAGGGAAACAGCTGCCATCGGTGAAATTCATTCTTTCATATATATATCTTTGTTATTTCAACTGTGTTAAATGTTTGAATTTTCTATCGAATAGAGAATTAAACGAAACAAATTCCTATGACTGTTTCTTTATCAAAGAATGCAAGATTCAACACATCGAACGAACTCATTTCGAATTCTGTTTATTTGAGACATTGATCACTGAAGAAAGAATTAATCAGTGCGATTTCGATAATAATAATAAAAAACATTAGATGAATTCGAAATTCTATCCCTAAATGTATCATCATTTAAAACAATCAATCAAGAATGAAAATTATCAAAGTTTTCTAATCAAATTTTGATCCCACATAAAATTATTTTTAATCTTGATTTGATCTGTGATCAATCATACATTGATTGTCTCATTGGAGATTATTTTGAGAAAAGAATCGTCGAGCACTGTTTGACAGATTCGAACGATGATCAGTTTGGAATCGTATAAGATTAGACTGTTAAAACTCTTCATATCGATGTTAATTGAATCAAACTAGCTATTTCAACTGAAACAACAAAAAACCGTGAGCTCTTCATTGACAAGAGCTCTATGTGATTTAATAATTAGAAGCACATGTCGAAACAAAGTAGATAAGCGGGATTAAGTTAAAATCCCAAACTTTCTTCGTGATAGTTTTATAATATAAATATTCGTACATTGTCTATGCATTTGAATGATGTATATGTAAAGACTTACGATAAGAGGCTCTATACAATATATTATCTACTCAACACGTCGTTCAAATATAAGAGTATTTGAATAAATATGATTTGTCCCTTTTCAGTTCTATGTTGATCGTGAAAGATAAATAGATAACAGATATAAAAATGAAAATTCACATCTATTAATAGATTGCCTTCTCAAATTAGACTTGACTTTAATGTTTGCTTCAGACACTAACACATAGAGAACTTTGTATAGAATTTATTTATATATTTCTCTTTCAATAAACGTTTTCCATTTTTTTATCGCATCGAAATTGCTGCATGGCACGAACACGTTAACTACTCAACATTTTACAAGAATCCGATACTGTTTTTATTTGTCACATTGTTTTCTACCTGCTATTCAAACGGACTAAGAAAAGAATATATGTCTATAAATATTTGACCGAAGATGCACTTAAGATGTTTTGCTGTTTTTCAACAAGAGGGTGTGGATGTGGGGTGTGGGTGGTGTTTTCCTTGCCTTCACACCCACACTCACACACTCTCTCTTTTATACCTACAGTAACCTAGTACACGCCAATCGACTCTACTTGTCTCATATGAATTATTCATGAGAGAGAAGCAGCATATCTTTCAAATGTTTGCAAATCTAAATTAAAGATCTAAAAAGAGCACTAATCACGTTGATGTCGAAGATACCCAAGAATTATATTACAGTTTTGGGCTAAATCAATATCCAGTTTTGGAATCATCGTTTCTTAAAGTTCGATCCGAAAAAAACAATGATAGCTAGCAGATTAATGTGCACCAAGTAATGAATCAGCAGTAGCAACTCCTTGCCAGTTTTTTTAAAAGCTGGCGTTAACTATTTTACGGTGAGTTCCCTGAGAATTTCTAATCAGATTCAGAAAATTTAATATCAATAATATATAAATTAGTGAGATCAAAACACCTTGATAATATTCTATATTTTGGAGTACAAGTGAATGTTGTCCTTTTCAATCGCTTGAAGACTCGATCTTGACATATTTTTCAACGTTCTCCTTAAAATATAAAAGCGTTTAGCTTAGTAAAAGCAATGAGATATCGAATAAGCAAGCAACCACTTTTCACTTTTCACCTTTCATTCTTGTTCAAGATACGAGTTTTATTGTTCTCACTGTTGTTTCTTTTCCTTTCGCATCCAAAAGTAGTAGTCTTCTCTTCGTGTAGATGAAATTTCTAATGATGATGAAATATATGATAGCCTCTTTTTTCTTTATTTTTCATACTACAAAGAACACTGAGTTCTAGCTTTCTTCTTTCAAGCGAACTATCGACCGTCAGTTTCAATCATCAAAAATAGGAGACTATAGATTGTGAATGAATACTGCTAGAACATTTATTGAAGAAGTACAAGAAGAGAAAAAAAGGAATTATGTACTATAATGTTCTAATTACGGATTACATATCATTCAAAGATCAGCACCACCACAGAGTCGGAGTACCAAGTGAAGTGTGCTTTCCTTTTGAATGTTGTAGTCACTGAGAGTGCGACCATCTTCGAGCTGCTTGCCAGCGAATATAAGGCGTTGTTGATCAGGTGGAATGCCTTCTTTGTCTTGGATCGTGGCCTTCACATTTTCAATACTATCAGAGGGTTCGACTTCAAGGGTGATGATTTTGCCTGTCAATGTTTTCACAAAGATTTGCATGCCACCACGAAGTCGGAGTACCACCCAGTCAAAATTTACAACTCTAAAATGCCATTAAAATGATCGAAAATTTCCATCATTAAAATGGTGAAAAACTGTCACAAATAACCCCATATAATGTCTACTCATTTACACATTAAAATGATTAATTTAATGAAGATAAAATGATTAATATTTATGAAAAATAATGTTTACAAATAAAACCATTTTTTTTTGCACTATTTGTGACCGTTTTACACCATTTTCTTAGAAGCGTAATAATTGTGTGACCTTGCACCGCACTATAATTATTTTTTTGAATTTTCTTGTAAGCCGTTCCCTCGAAACAAAAATCGTCTATCATTATCTTTTCAAAATATGATTTCCGACACATTACATGAGACTGTGTTGGCACTTTGCGGTCATAGCGGG